AAAGATCTAATATATTACTATGAGGAACCATAACTCTGTGGCGGAAGCACATTAATGGGTATCACAACTGTTTTTCTACGCTATAAACAAAGAGAAGCTTTGTGGTATCCTAGAGCAGAGGTCTCCAACCTTTTTGAGCCTGTGGGCACTTTTGGAATTCTGACATAGCATGGCTGGTACAGCCACAACATGGCTGCAATAGGAGGCAGAGCCAGCCACAAGATAGCTACTGCAGCTTACCTTCAAGCCCATAGTAAGAATCCTTGTGCTGTGATGGCAACTGCTACCAAAGCAACTTTTAAAAAATCTGCACAGCCAATCAGATCTCCAATGGTCAATTGGAACCCTTGCTGGGCAGGAATTGCATTTGGCCTTGCCCACTTTCTAAAAACACTTGGCGGGTGCCATGTCACCCATGGACCATTGGAGACCACTGTCCTAGAGACTAATTTATTGTAGCATAAATAAAACATCTGTAGTCAGTGGTGCAATGTGATCTCAAGAGAGAGTAAATATTGGGAATTTTTCAAGTGCATTGTTTTAAAAACATGAATAGTTCCCCAAAATGCCATAATTCTGTTTAGCTAAACTTAAAAAGAATCATAGGAAAGGCAATGAAATAATATCACTTGGGAAAACAACTTTAAAAAGGTTGCTTCATGTTTGAATATTATCATGCCATGTTCCTGCTACCAATCTCCAGAAAATAAGAGGATTTCCAGACATATTGTTTTGTGGATATTAGAATTCTTTTACTGAGCCCACTGTTAACCCACAGTGGAGCTAGCACAGCAATTGTATCAGAAATACTCCAAATTGAGAAGACTTGAGATAACTAATTTACTAACATAGAAGCAGTGCAAAGCAAGAACTCTGCAAGTATATTGCCTTATTAACAAATGTAATACTAACATTTAGTTTAACTGGGTTATGATCTCTCACTCTTGGGTTTATAGTTAGTGTGGGTATCTTTCCTTTATCCATAGATGTAGTCCCTTCCCATTTTTTTTTTCTTTGTAGTTTTGTAGTCTATTAAAAAACAATAAAAATACCCCTTCGGGGGTTTAAAAAAAAAAGAAATACTCCAAATGATTCCACAGCTTGGTTATCTATTGCTGAAGTGATTTGAAGCACATCAGTAAACCTTGGAATGGTGTTTGTTGGGCTCATTCAGTTATACTCAGTTGACAGTTACTGGGTGCACAAATCAGTTGTCAGTCAAGCTTTCAAAACTACTAGGTGAATATTTGCCTGTTCTACAACTTCAGGAATCCCACAGTGTACGTATGTACTCCTCCTAGAAATCCGAGATCTTTAGCTAGATTTCCCCAGAAGCTAGGCTCTGAGTCAAGTACAATCTCCTCCTAAAGCGTTCACTAAATTAAGCTACATTCCCTAAAAGACAGACCCATATTGACTCCTGGGAAAGGACTCCCCCAGACTAACCTTCTGGAGGCACAAATCCTGTCTCAAACTGACAGTTTATGGATTCTTCTCTCCACTCACCCTCCCATCTGGCTCCTCCAACATTCCATCGGCCCTGATTGGCCATTAGCTCTGCATGCACACCAAACAGGCATACAAGGGATTGGCAATTGATAGAAAGGAGCAGGACCTTTGACTGTCCGTCAGACATCCGCCAATTTATGCCAGTTCATATCCTAACACAGAACCCAGCGCACACTCTGTCTTCATGCTTTCTAGCTACATATGACATGGATCTCCTGGTGCACAATTCAGACTTCAAAAAACCACTGCATCCAGGGAAGGGGTGGTTTTCAGATGGAGACTGCCATGCTGGAGCAGGAATCTTTTTTCTTTCATGCTGTCTCCCCGAGAGAGATCACCATCTCCCCAAGCCACTGGATCTGGTGAGATAAAAGGGTTATCCCTATCTGTGCCCATATTTTTCTCCATTTCAACCAAATGCAAATCCCCCAGTGTTTTTTGAGCTTCAGTGACATGTTGGAAGATATAATCACAGCTCCTCAGGATCACCTTTAGTTATGCCCAAAGATGAAGGAACAAGGATGCCTTCGGAGGATCGGCTCCCTCAAGCTGCTCCACTACTGTTACTATTTGGTCTCATAAGGAAGGTGCTGAAGTTCAGTAGCAAAACCCATGTTTTGCATATATGAAGTCACAGCTTCAGTCCTTGGCATCTCTAATTTAAAAAATATCTCAAGTAACAGGAATGGGAAAAGCTCCCACCAGAGGTCTTTGGCTTCTGCTAATTTGAGTCAACAATAATGGGATAAATCTTGTAACCGAAATAAAACTACATGTTTTTGGCTACATAAAATACTGAAGAAGCTACTGTCCACATCTTGCGAAGAGGACAGATGCTTTCTCAGATGCATTGGTAGGCTGCAAATTTTCCAGGTACAATTCAAAGTTCTGATCCAAACAGACTAGGGCAGATTATGATAGGGTCTATAATCAATTATCCTTGATAATTTGGTTTAGGGATCACTTTCCCCCATACTGCTTGTTAAGATTTTACAGGAGAAGCCCACCTCTAAGCATTATCTAGAACCAAAGTCAAATGCATAAGGGGCAAAAATGACCTTCAGAGTTAAGCTCCACACAATTAGCAAGGGAAGCCTGTCCAAATCCAGTCCTACAATCTAAGAGACAGCGGACCCCATTTTCATAGTTGTAAAGGCATTTGGACATGTTGACTCAGTGCTGATTTATTGTACAGATGTGATTTTAAGTTGATTTCTATTATGTCTGTCCTTAATTTTAGGGAACTCTGACAACTGCCTTTAACATTAAATGGTGTAACGAAGTATCCTTTCCCTGAACTGGCACCACTGAAGGCATTCAGAAATGTGGAAGAGGATATGAGATAACGACAGCTCATAAAAAGTTCAAAAATATCTTTCTTCAACTAAGAAGAGTTGGATTTATACCCCACCCTTCACTCGGAGTCTCCTTCCCTTCCTCTCCCCACAACAGACACCATAGAGAGCTATGAGAGAACTGCTCTTGAGAGAACACCTCTGAGAGAACTGTGACTGACCCAAGGTCACTCAGCTGGCTGCAAGTAGGGAAGCGGGGAATCAAACCCAGTTCTCCAGATTACAGTCCGCTGCTCTTAACTACTATTCCAAACAAGCTCTCAGGAAATAAAGGACAGCATTCAATATGATATATATATATATATATTCATACGTAGGTTCTTCTTCCTGCAGTGTAATGGAAATGATAATTGTAAATGAAAGACATTATTTTATTTCATCCATAATACTCTTAAGAGTCTATCTAGCCAGTCTATCTAGCTGATACTTCAGACATGAGCCATTACAGGCTTCTGTAAATTCCTTTTCAAATATTTTTCCAAGAAAATGAGAAGAAATTCTTAAAGAATACACAAAGAATAGAATTTTTGATTAATTATGTAGGAGAAAAAATGAGAATAGGTAAGTGTGGCTCATCTACTTCATTTGTGTAGCTACAAACTAAATAACGCAAGATTTTCTCCCCACCCTTTTGCCAAAAGAATTCCACTTTGCAGGAAAATTATGCTGTTAGAATTGATCTACGGATGTGCTTGTTACATTTTAAGAAGTCTCTTAAGAATGCTCAACAATGAACCCAGTATTAAACCTAACAATTTAAAGAAAAAAGAAATTACAATTCTATAGGAACAAAATCTATTTAATTTTGATTTACAAATTTAGCAAAGAATGGCAAACTTACTTGGAAAAATGATTATTATACCATATAGAAATACAAGAAACTGGCTAACCAGAATATTTTATATAAAACTACTTTTCGAAGTTGCTATAAAAGGTAAAGCTTAGAATCAATTGGGAAGCTTATATTTAAGGCAGAATGAATGAGTTTTGTATAAAATATGATAATTACAAAATACTCTCTTCCATAAGCGGTTTTACAAATTGGAACAGAGATTGTGCCAGAACATAGAATATGGGTCCATATTTGCAGTGGCAAAATGCTGGCAACGTTAAATGGTAAATAACCAAAACTCATAATAGCAGGGGTCTAGTATGCTTTGGGGAAACATGATTTGCTATATTAATTTGCTGTCAAATCTCCTCTAGCAATAAGAATCTATGGAAGTTCTAGATCAAGAAGTTATTGGAGAAACACCAGTGGATTATTTATACAGCACTGCGGAGATATTTTCATGTATCAATAATGACAGAGATTTAAGTCTAACTGTTCTCCCATCAGTTTCAAGGTCACTAAGCCTACAAAAGAATTCAAAAACAAATAAAACCCCACAAAAGGTAGCATATTTTCTTATTCTGTACTTCAGTCCTATCATTTAACATATCAACAGCAATCCAGTAATGCCCAGTATCTTAAGATGTGTGCCAAAATAATTTAAGAATGGTTATAAGGGTAGGAGGAAGAATCCATTTGACAGCAGAGATTCAGTTAACTGGTTTGGGGTGTGTCCCTTGGCAGAGAAATAAATACTCATCCAATCATTTTAAATTATATTTGCATGATTCTTAACATGCTGGTGCTAAAATGGGCAGCTGCAAAGAGAAACTTTACAGTGGAAGTGCAATAATCTCTGTATACATCTGCACACAAGTTCCATACTCCTGCAAACACAATGAGAGATCAGTCATTTTGACTTTGCTTTCCAAGCTTATTCTGGTTGGGTACTACTAAAGCAACAATTACACAGTAATACCCATCTCAAAAAAATTGAATGTATTATCTATTTAGTGTTTATATACATCCCATGAATTATATTTTCATTTTAGTGTTCTTTGGCCTTGCTAAAAATATGCCTGTTGGGTCTTCTCTATTTGGGAAGTTATTTACAGTGCAATCCTAAGAAGAGTTGCACCCTTCTAAATCCACTGAGCTCAATGGAGTCAGAAAGATGTAATTGTGATTAGGATTGCACTGTTAGTCATGTGAATCGATGGAAAATTGTTCACTTCCATTTTCCAAAGGATACCTTCACTCTTTAAAGAGAAACAAAAAATGTACAATATGTTGTCGAAGGCTGGCAAAAGTCAGGTTCTACAATGCCAAGACCACAACCACACAACCCGGAAAATCTACAGCAACTAAAAATGTACAGTTGATATGTAGAGTACAAAGCTGAGGTGCATCTGTATAGGATTGCTGGATAGCTGGAGATAAAACAGTTTCTTCCAAAACCCATCCGAGGAATGAATGTTCTTCAAAGTTCAGAGGTTTCCCCTCCCCCTTTCAAATGGTCCTCGGTGGCAAACATTGCTTGTACATTCCTGCTATAGCCTTGGCTGCACTGTAGATCATTTGTCGACGGGACATGCCAGTGAATGCAACATGCCAGTCTGTTCTGTTGACGTGCAGTAAGTTCTTTTCTAGCACTTCACCCACTGTAACCAGTAAACCTGACCATCTTAGGTTATAATCCTGAGGAGTCAGACTTTGAGCCTGTGGAAAAATTTAACAACAGGGTAAGAACAGAAGAAAATAACTCAATACTATGAAATAGCACACATTCGGTTTTATTTAGGGTGATATTATTTGGGGAGGGCAATACTGGTGGGACTGATTTCATTGTCCTTCATTTGATTTCACTATAAATAAGCTAACTGTTATGTTCTGAATCCTCAGTAAACTTTAATAAAGTTATGACTTCTTAAATATTCCAGCTATTACATCGATACTAGCTGCTCAGAAAAACCAAGTTATCAGATCTGCTAGTGTACTTTTCTGTTTTCTGAACATTTTAAGAGAGTCAAAGTTTTAATTAGTTTTGCCCATTATATGTCACCCCTTCAAATAATATGTAAACTTAGCCAGCAGAATGCATGAAAATCTAATCCACATATTGTTTACACGCTTAATGAAAAAGAAGCTGATAATTTAATGACAAGAAATATCAAAAGCACTATTGGTCCCGGTCACATGGGCAGGAAAATGCGGGGGGGGGGGGAACGGGGCTGGTGACCCCGGGGCTAAAAACCGCGTGGTTGCTCGAGCAGACCTACCGATGGAGGTCCCGTGGTAGGGGGGAGGTGCCGATCACTCCACAGTCCTACGGCGCAGCAAAGAAGCGGGGCATGGGGCAAACGGGGTTGGGTTTTTTTTTTAACTCAAATGTGCGCATGCTCCCTTGGGTGCTTGTGCGCATCCGTGGAGACTTTGGGGGAAAAAAACTTTTTCCGAGGGGACATGGGCGGGCGCCAGAACTACCACCGGAAAAGCGATCAGACGCCCAGCCTTGCCCCACGGTTTCAGGAAACTAGTACCTCCGAGGTACTAGTTTTTTACCACGCATCTTTCGCGGGAAGCCTTGGGTTCACCACGGGAGCGCGACGCTTCCCAGATGTGGCGGTGAGATCGCGCCCGGAAAATCCGCCTATCTTCCGTCCCTCTAGCGTGCCTAATGCTCCGTGTGACCGCAGCCACTTAACTCCAAGCTCTTGAGTTCTCAGTTCCTAGCCCTTGGAGGATCCCACTCTCTGAGGATGAAACTCACCTGTTGTACATATTCCAGAGGCACTGGTGTTGCCTGTGTAAATGTTTCAAGATGAATACCATGAATTGGATCCTCTACAATTAGGCAACCAATGTCAAACCACCTGTAGCAGAAAAGAGTATATGAATTCCTACTGATGTCTAATAATAGACATTAACTGAATGGAACAAATTAATCTGGTGGCTTTGAAAGGCAAGGAAACTACAGTTCACTAAAACTATATTATTGGAAACCATTTTTAGGAAGCAGTCCTAATTTCCAAGAAGCAGCAGCACACACTTACCCAGAGGCCACATTTGTGGTCTGGGACCGAGTGGAGGAATGCCTTTCACCAGCTCCAAGCTGGCCAGATGGTCCTCAGGGGTCTTGACCTCAGCGGCAGCTCTAGGCCAGCCAATCACATACTCCCTGGACAGCCTGCGAGGGGCAGAGCTCCAAGATGACCTGGACTTTGAAGTTTTCACTCTGGTCTACCCCTTCCCTATTTAGAAAGGCTGCTGCAGAGACTTCACCTTTTGTCAGTTCTGACTTTCCCTCCCACCCTCCATGCTTTTCAGTTGTTATAAGTTGCGTTTCAGTACATTTAGTTCCTTGTGTTTCACCACAGCTTATTTCATTACAGCTTGGTTGGGCGGTTTGGGCATTGAGATGGATCCTTTGGGGGCGGGACCCTGTCCCTGCACATCCACCTCCCCCATTTTGGGGACTCCTTTAAGGGCTCCTGGGGGTGGAGCCATTCAGCGTCATGCCCAGCTTGGGGGCTGTTGGCTGGCTCTCACCACGAGGTGGCAAGGAAACCATGCAGTGACTGGCACCCATGAGGATCCTGGGGCTTGCCACTCCACAGTCCCCCCCCCCCAACAGGGAGGCTTGGGGGGGGGGATACCAGGCAGCAGGCAGGTTGATTGACGCAGGATTCATCCCCATGCTGTACCAGTGCTCCTGCATGGCTGGAATTTTCCAAAACTGGTTTGTGTCATGGTACTTCCTTCCTCATCCTTGCTCCCTTCCTTGCCCCTGGGCCTGCAATACATGCTTATGATTGCACTGCTCGTATCCTAACTAATTAACACAGAAGACACAACATTCATACCAGCAAGGAGTTTCAGAGTAAAGGCACAGTAGATGAAGGTCCAAGAGTTAGGTGCTTATTGCATGCATTGTTCAAGCTCAACCGTTCTTTAAACTAAGACTTACATTTTCACGAATAAGCCCGTACAAATGTGTAAATACCAATGTGTTTGTATGTTGTAATGTTTAATCATGGATCATACCCTGTCAGATTTAAAGCACTAAGGGCAGTGATGCAAGGTAGCAAAGCAAAAACTACCGGGTATCAGCTACAGGCAGACGACAACTCTTTTTCCTCTCCAATGTAGTAGTCACTTTTTATGAGCCCAGAGATGCAATACAGCGTGTACTTTTATTCTGATGAACACATTAAAGCATCTCACTTGTCAGGAAGCAGTTCTGCGATAAAATTCTCAACAGACACAGCAGGCTGTTTCTCGTGTATCACTCCTGTCCTGCGCAAGCTGTCAATCCTTTCTTGGGCTCCCTAAATGAGATGAATGCAGTTGGTAAGAATGGGACTCAACATAGCACTGAAGTGATGAAAGAAAGTCATTTCTGCTGCTTAAGATACAGAACAGCTACACACCAAAGGAAGCCGAAAGAAAACCAGTGGGTTCAATACAACACAAGGATTGCAGGCTGTCCCTGCCTCCCCCAGCAGCCATTTCATTTTGATAGTCCACTCAAGCCCCCAGGAGCCCTGCCTCGCCCAGCAGTTCATTCCTGGGATAGCAGGACCTGTGTGGAGTAACAGCCACAGAGGTCAGTGGGATGCATGCAGTAAAGAGGGGAAAGGGGGCAAAATCACTAATTCCTTTCTCTAACACCAGTGGAGCTCCATTGACAGAAGCAGCAAGGAAGGCTATTTCACCTCTTTCATCCTCCCACTGCAGCCTTGTAATCTACATGGCTGTAAGTTTACACAAGTCTCACAACCCCAGCGATAAACTTCACCAGGGCCAGAAGTGGCTGCTGGGGGCTTGAGTGGAGGGAGCAGAGAAGGTCTGTAACTATCAAAACCTTCTGCTGACATATTGCGTGATCCAACCCCAAACGGCGGAGATGAAGGGTATCATAATTGTTTCCCAGTGTTTATCATATTACTGGGAAGTAATCTCCTGTTTCTGTGCACCTGAGGATGAATTCCTCCTGATAGGGCTTTATTGTAATAATTAACAAACAACGGGGGTAGCAGTATGACAATCGTGCTACATACAAGAATACTGCAATAGTGCAACCAATACAAAATACTGTATAACCAATGACAGAATAATCATTCCATAATATTTAATCTTTTTCTTTTTTCAGTGTAGACGCCGCGAGATGAACATGCAAGACGTCATAAAGAAGTGAAGGACGAACTTCCCCGGAGTAACCGTTTCGTTTCGATATTTCTTTTTCATACAAACATCAGTTCTGCTTCAGCATACTCATACAACTTCCCAAAAGGGCCTCTCTGATTCCTAACAGCTTCAGAATAGCTTATAACCGGCACATAGCCTATGTATTAAATCGGGCTGATCAGCCCGATTTAATACATAGGCTATCTGCCGGTTATAAGCTATTCTGAAGCTGTTAGGAATCAGAGAGGTCCTTTTGGGAAGTTGTATGAGTATGCTGAAGGTCTTTATTGTATTCTGGTGCATTTTAAAATCTGGTCATGCTATAAAAGACCTTCTTTAAAAAACATTGCAAGTTATGGTTGATTGCGGACCAAGAAATACTATACTTTTTATTGCAATTCTCTCCAAATATTATGAGTTATTTTCCTGTCAGGCTTTCCATACGATGGTTACTCACTTTCAACCCAGCTGCATAGCCGACAGGTTGTGGTGCAATGTTTGACTGTCCAGCTTCTCCTGTAACTGTGGCCATTCCAAAAACTTCTTGGAAAGCATCTCTTATGGCTGCAACCTTGACCTCTTTTACAGAAGTGACAACTATGTCCAACTCTCCCCCAGATCCTGTAAAAGAATAAGCATATTAAAACCATCTGACACGTGCGGAGACACCTACAGCGGAGTCAAACTATGGTTGGAAAACTGATCTTTTTTCTTCTTGCAGCAAAGAGAAGAGAGGGCCACCGCACAAAGTGCTAAGGGTGACCCTCTTTTGAAGCAGAGATAAGCATTTTTACCTGCTTGATTGCCCCTTAAAGTTTGTGAAAATAAGAGAATAAACACTTGGTGTACACCACTATGTGCACCACCATCAGAATAACTAGTTAAACCCCTTATGAATTTATTCTCCTGTTTGCACATTAATGATATTGTTTACTTATTTATTTCACTTAAAATATTTATATCCCGCCTTTCCACAATGTCCAAGGTGGATTACAAATATAAACATCTACAGTTAAAAACACAGAAAAGTGTAAGAGTCCAGTAGCATCTTAAAGACTAACAAAATTTGTGGTAGGGTACGAGCTTTCGTGAGTCACTGCTCACTTCTTCATAAAAAACATAGCTAAACACACAAACTAAAATGCATCAAACTGTAAAACTGTAACTACCAGCTATCAGAGGCATTCATTAGTTATTTCCACTAAAGGTATGCCAAAATAATTCCACTCTGTATCTCTGTACATAAAGAAATGTATTGTTGTGCATCACATGTATTGCATTCCGAAGCCTCCAGACAATCTCCACCAAAGGAGGCACGTATATGTTAAGGAGCATCAGTGAAAGGATGAGTCCCTGAGGGACACCACAGATCACATTCCACATATGATGGCCTATAACCAACAGTCACGCTTTGGTTTCTGTCAGCCAGACAGGAGCAGAACTATTTTATGCCAACCCTTTTATCCCTAGGCCTTCCAGGTGCTCTATTAAGATGGTATGATTGACAGTATCAAAAGCTGCCAACACATCCAATAAAATCAACAAGGAGGAGTTCCCCTTGGCAGTTTGCAGCCAGAAACCGTTCACCACAGCAATAAGCACTGCCTCACTATCAAAACCAGGTCTGAAGATGGATTAAAATTGGTCAAGAGCAGATGTTTCCTCCAAGTATTCCTGGAGTTGCCTTGCTACCAGTTTGCCTGAGTATGGAAGGCTGGAAACAAGTCAGTAACTCTTAACATCATCTAAAGGCAATGACAGTTTCTTCCATAATAGTCTTATTACAGCATGTTCTAACTTTGAAGGGAAAGTTTCCTCCAATAATGAAGTGTTAACAATTCTGTCCAACCAAAAATTAACTGATGTAGGGGAGATTTTAATTAGCCATGAAGGGCACAGATCCAATTTAGAAGTTGTAGGTTTCACACTCCAATCCACACCAGAAGAAAAGCTTAACCTGAAACTATCCATCAAACATGGGTAAGTTGGCACCACCAACCTGGCTTGTTATTTAAAACAAGGATGTCCAGGTTAGAGGAGATCAGAGATTTTATCAGCAAAGAATTCAGCAAAATCATCACAATGCCCTGGTAGTTCCTCATCTGTCTGAGCTAATGCTCCAAATCTATGAGGTTCTTCACTTATTATTAGTCAACTTTGTATTCATGTGAAGTACACAGGTGGAAAACTTGCATAATGGTTACCTTTCTTGGCAATGTCAGCAATGCCAAAGTACATCAAGCAGTAAGAACATAAGAACGTAAGAGAAGCCAATGTTGGATCAGGCTAATGGCCCATCTAGTCCAAAACTCTGTCACACAGTGGCCAAAAATACCAGGTGCCATCAGGAGGTCCAGCAGTGGGGCCAGGGCACTAGAAGCCCTCCCACTGTTGCCCCTCCCCCAAGCACCAAGAATACAAAACATCACTTGCCCCAGCCTGAGAGTTCCTATCTATCCCTTGTGGCTAATAGCCACTGATAGACTTCTGCTCCATATGCTTATCTAATTCCCTCTTGAAGCTGTCCATGCTTGTAGCCACCACCACCTCCTGTGGCAGTGAATTCCATGTGTTAATCACTCTTTGGGTGAAGAAATACTTCCTTTTATCAGTTCTCACCAGACTGCTCAGCAATTTCATTGAGTGGCCACGGGTTCTTGTATTGTGAGAAAGGGAGAAAAGTACTTCTTTCTCAACCTGCTCTTAACACCTTAGATCCCAACACATTGAAGCAAAGACACACATCTCACCAGAAGATAATCCCTGTCGAACAATCTGGATTTACAAATACCACAACAGTTCCCATTAGCCTTCACTTACTGATGTAAGGAGCCATGCCAGGATCCAGTGTTGTGATCATGGTCTCTACAGAATGTTTGGTTTTATCAAGTACTGATTTCACCATAGGATTTCCAGCTACACCCTGCAGGAGAAATTCACTATATTAAATTCACTTTGCTGTCACTTTGGTCTTCTCTTTCACACTGTGGCTGCGTTTGCATATAACTCCCCCCCCCAAAAAAAATCAGCTGTTTATATGCAGGGGACAACTCCCACAGCTACAGCTAACATACAAAACTGGAAACTGAAACAAGAGTTCCACCCAATAGGACTAAACTGAATGACACAGATATCAAGGGGGGAGCAGACTGTTTCATTACATATATACACATATATAATAAATATACCACAATAATTTCAGTTTTATTTAAATGGTCTAGGTTTCCTCTGCTGCCTGCTTTGGGAGCGCCAGAGGAGAATATATGACTGAAAGTAAAGGACACTTCCTCTTACTGTACGAAAAAGCTATGAATGAAATTTATCAGTGAAGCTGATTTTCTTTTTTTTCAAATGAATCAACTTTATTGAAAGTATATCAGATTCACAATTTCTTTTGCCACATGATTGCATTTATCCCTTTTGTGATTTCTTGCATGCAAAGGGGTAACTAAATTAGGAACTGCTACATCCCTCTTTGATCCCTTTGCCTTTGGGGAAAAGAATGAAATCTACTTAGTCCTCTAAGGACAGTTAAGTGCAAACAATGCTTAGTTAGGAACCTCTTAGTAAGCAGTACATTGCAGGATTGCTGCTCCACAGTTAGCCCTCAGAAATGCTCACTCACATATGGAATATGTGCAAGATGTTTCCAAAGACAGAGCTAATATTTGACTGCATTGCTGATCAGCAATAAAATTAATGGGCGACCTTTGGCTACTTGCGATCTAGTAACCTAATGTACTTTACAACATTCCAAGGAGAAACAATTGGATAATGGCATGTTCAATGCCAAGAGCTCCTTGGGGCAAAAGCAGGTTACAAATATCATCAATTAAATTTATTTTCCCCCATGATTCATTGTTACTTTTTAGTTGCATATATCAGGTTGCAAACTTCGCATACTTAGTAATTCATTGGCTACTATCTCTCTTTCTCCCATGCACTGGTATTTTGCAATGACTTTGCAAAATACTAAAAGTCACTAAAGATTCTGGCCTTTGGATGCAGTCTCTTCCTTGCAGGGGTGAGAAAACACGGCACTGCTGGGGTAGAAGAAGCTACTCCCAGAGCTGTAATGGTAGCCTGCCCAAGGGTTTATCACTCCATCCTTGCAAGCTGTCCCATTTCCTATAGCTGACAAAAGTTGTTGACAGGGTGCCTGTGGGCGCCATGATGCCCACTCATGCCTTTTCTGGTGCCTGCCAAGTGTTTTTAGAAAGTGGGCGGGGCCGGGTGGGGCTTCAGCCCAGCAAGGCTTCTGAATAACTTTTGGAGATTTGATTGGTTGTACAGATTTTTTAAAAAGTGTTGGTTTGGCAGCAGCTGCCACCACAGCATAAGTATCTTCATCATGTGACTGACAGTAAGCTGTGCCAGCTTTGCCTGCTACGGTAGCCATTTTGTGGCAGTCATTTTATGACTGTGCCCACCACACTATTTCAGAATTCCATAGGTGCCCACAGGCTCAAAAAGGTAGGGTACCCCTGTAATAGAATAATGAAGAAGCACAGGAATCCTCTATCAGGAAACTTTGTGCTTTTAGAAATTTTCTCTGATAATGGTTCATACCATAATGCTCTGAGTGCAGCAGTAAACCTGCTTCTGGACTGTATCATTTAAGGCTAACTGAGGACTCCCACGATGAAACGTTCCCTTACAGAAAAATGTTCTGACATGTCACAAACTAAGAGTACACCTGTAGCCAAAAGTGGAACAATCCAGTCACAACTGCAACTGCAGTGAGAAGTGAGCCAAATATAGGCTATTAATCTACATGGGCCATTGTAATATTCAAAAGGATAATCTTGTATTTGACCATTTCCATGAAATGCTGTATACAATTCCTTAGCTGTGCAGGGGAAATCATCCTTTATGTGATCTTTGGCAGAGCAAGACAGATGGGACAGGTCTGCAAAAGAACAAAAGCAAGGAACACCATGGGCACAGAAGAGAAGAAATCACAGATGCTGCCATGTGAAATAGCACATGTGTGATCAAGGGATGAACAAATCAAACCATTCTGGTGGTCAATAAGACAAGAGAGCTGCCTTGCTCTGTTAATCATGGAAAAGAAGTTTTCTACAAATTTAACTCAGTACTGTCTTTGAGAAGTAATACTAGCACAGTAATGCAGGTACTTCCCTGTCCCTATTAGCATTTTCAATTAACTCAGGTGCTTTTACATATGTATGTGTTCCCACAATTGTGGAAAGGAGCTGCAACCAGTAGATATTTGGAATTCCCCTAGAACAGGGGTCCCCAACATTTTTGAAGCTGTGAACACCGTCAGAATTCTGACACAGGGGGGTGGGGGCAACCACAAAATGGCTGCGGGGGGGGGGGGGGGTGATGCCAGACAGAGAGAGAGAGGAAATCCAAGTACAGGAGAAAAGAGAGGCAATTTTTTAAAAATACACCACAAAAGAGGAGTGAAATAGAATAAAACCAACACACCAATGGCAGATGCTGCTGAAAGAATGTGATTTTAATCAGCACAGCCAATCAGATTGCCAATGACCAACCAGATGTCCTGCTGGGCAAAAACCTCACCAAGCTCCACCCACTTTCTAAAAAACACTTGGCGGGAGCTGTCAGGGGGCACCAGGGGTTCACTGCTGCCATGATTGGGACCCATGCCCTAGAGACTATTAGGCAGGATAGGTGCCACATCCCAGTGGGAACTATGTTATACAGGCCTGTTCTAATTGGTGACTGCAAATATTTCAGTTTGTTTGATTTCATTTCAGTCTGTTTTATAAGAAAGATTTCCATCAGGATTGTAAACATATAGTGACCATTACTTTTATGAAGCCCCACAGTCCTCCGGCAGATGCTTCCATTGGCATGCCAACTACCCTGGGGTCTTCACGCTCCTCTGGGAAAGTAATTGCGGAACCACTTCCAGTACCAGATGCTAATGATGGTGGTACAGAAGTCTGCTGTGTTACACCGGTTGTCAGGACACCTGAGAAGCAACAGTACAAATAAATACATCACAGTTCATTCTGTTGTAACCTGGGATTCCTTAATGTATAAATTAATTCTATCATTTTTACTTGTTCAGAAAACAGTATGTGTTTGACAGCATTCATTAGTTTAAAAACAAAAAACTATTACTACTAAAAGCCACTACTACTGCAGAAGATTAATCTAACTGGATTATTTAGGAGCAAAGGTTTTGGAAAGTCATATTCAAGGAGAATAGACATATGCCTAGAAGGAATACTAAAGCTATTTATAGAATATATTTCAATGAAACAGAATTCATATGTTCAAAGCATAACATTTTTTCCTCAGTGAGAGTACATTCTTTATTTTGGTATGGAAGGGGACAGTAAAAATGTTATAAATGAAACACAAAAATAACATCCACACTAGAGTGGAAGGATCACTAGAAAAGAATGTAAACACAGATTTAGGAGGACTAAAATAACTTGAGGTAGAAATCTACAAAATAACAATCATGTTTAGTGGCTGCTAGTTGTAGGATATTGCTTTAAAATATTGATTATTTTCTTTCTGAAAGATTCCCAAAGGTTTCTCTCCTTTTCTCTGGAATCATTAACTCAGGAAAAATTACTTGGAATACCAACTTGTGATTCACTATAAACAGACCACCTAGGTCTGCAACCGCCGGGCTTTTGGTTGAGGCAGTGGGTGTCGCCCTCCTTAGGCCAGCCCCCATCTGTAGCCTGGGTCCTGAGATCCTAAATTTTAAGATCTCAAAAAACTTAAATTCTAATACCATCAACCACTGAGGTATCTGGCTTTTTACTAGAGTTGTATGGCACATATGAGTTATATTATTTTATATTGTGTTTTATGTAGTTTTAATTGCATTGTATTTTATACCCTGAGCCCGTTAAGGGGAGAGCGGGATATAAAGCCAACTAAATAAATAAATATGTATGTTAAAAAAAAAATCAAAATTCTGCAGCAAAAAGTTAAGCTTTATGGCACACATTATTTTGCTATTGTTAGTCATGGAATGGCGCAATCTATTTATACTGCAGTTCATTAATTGGACTGGATTCTGACCGTTACGCATCAGCAAAGGTTTTAGATTACCAAGTTTTAGCTGACTGCATGTTAAAATAACAAGTGTAAACTATTTCAATTACTTTGTCAGACATATAACAGGAAGGAAGGAAGGAAGGAAGGAAGGGGGGAGAGAGAGAGAGAAAGAAAGAATTGCATACAAGTCCTGACTCCAAACAAAATTTCATTGAATGAAGTCTGGTGCTACCAGCTATTTGAACTTAAAACGTAGTCATTTATTTCTTCAGCAGCAGACTGAGGGATTCTTAAACTGACTCTGTCATGAAGATGCAGCACTGTGTGTATTCACTGGAAGCTGAGAAAGAGTATAGGCTTGGATCCAATAGTTTTTCCATGGGCACAAGGATTTCCACCCACAGAACATAACTTTTTTGTTGTCCCTCTTCCCACAGCTGCCCAAAATGACACTCCAATCCTGTTGGGGGGGGGGGAGCAGCAGGGAAACCAAGCCACAAAATATGGTACTGGGCACAAAATTTAGCTATTTAAGAAAGTAAACTTTCATTAAAAAGCAATGGTCTTTATGACTGCAAAGGTATGCTAAAAACTTTGCAAGCAATGCCTGGTGAAAAATGTGAAGCCAGATAAATCAGCCAAGTGAGATAACTAGCTAGTAGGCAAGGCAAGGCTTCAGTACCCCTCATAATTCTTTGCTCCTATGACTAGCAATGGCAAAACAACACACACCATAGAATCCAGCTTTTCTTGGTACAGAACTATTTTAGTAAGCCTCATTGTAATGATTCCTTGTTTTTATGTGTGTGTGTCTCTTTAAAAGTTTGGTTGCATGGCTGAGATATATTAGAGTGGTTGAAGAGACAAGAGTGGTGTGATTGGTGATTGACAGAGGGGGGAGGGGGTTTGGAAGTGGTTCTGAATGGATATGTATGTCCGTCAAGAGTGACAGTTACAGGTTTGACAGTTGATAAAGACAGTTATCAGTTAGTTCGTTCTGAGGTCTGGGAGAGAAGCAGTCTTGTGTGTGATATAAGAGAGTTCAGTTCTGTGTATGAGAAGAAAAGAGACAAGCGGTTTGGTGTTGAAACAGTTATAAGCTGAAGCTGAGTGTCTATGAAACAGTAAAGTATAGTTAAAAGAGTTACAGAGTTACCTGAAAGATCCCTGTCAGTAAGGGAGCAGATCTTGTGTGAGACACCAAGCAATTGTTCAAAATATTCACATTACTGGTTACATGGTTCTACCCTTTTATTTATGAATTATTTCAATAAATCTTCTTTTATTTAAGTATATCAGCTCTGAAAGAAATACTTCCCAGGACCACATAGTACCTCGTGAGCCTTCAACTCGACCTACGTACCCAGTAAAGAGCCAAAGTGAAGGGAAAAGGTTTGGAAAGCCTTAAAATTTCCTGGTGGCAGCCAGATATACCCAGTAGAACAAAACATAAAGTACATTTTTAAAGGGAAACCAGTCCTCCCCAGATAAGGGGTCTTCACACTCATAAAGTGTGTTTCTTTTCTGCTCAACTATCCATCCCCTTCACAATTAGGTCGTGCTCACAAATGGCTCAAGCATGTGGATTTTACAAGCTCCTTTATGTATCTAAATGCCTTGAAACCTCAATAATTTAGCTGCAACAAAGGAGAAAATAGACTGTATATTTATGCATGTAGGCCCTGGTTTACACAAGCGAGGTGGTGGAGAGTGCACGAGACCAAGGATCACTCTTGTACTTTACCATATTAAGAGCTATACTCTGGGGACACAAGATTCTAGAACTGAATTACATTTGACAAAATGCATAGTTAAGAATTAGCCAACAGTCCTGGACAGAGATTTAACAGTTGTTTCTTTAAGTAAATATACTGATCTTTCAAGATGGGTAGCCATGTTAGTTTGTCTATAGCAGTAGAAAAGAGCAAGAGTCCAGTAGCAGAAGTGAGCAGTCATTCATGAAAGCTCATACCCTTTAAGAAGCTATTGGACTCTTGCTCTTTTATACTGATAATTGCCCCTGCCTCTGAAATGTTATATTAGAACACAATCTTACCTGTGACTGGAGGCGCAGAAAATGATGGCATCAGTGGTGTCTGTGGTGCTCGGCCAGCATGACCTTTGGTAATATCATAGGTGGAAGTAATAGAAAAACCTGAAATGGGGGGACCAGTCGGGGGTGCAGAAAGCACAGGGCCAGGAGCAGAACTTAGTGGAGGAGGTGGTGTGAGGTGGGGAGCAGAACTGCAGAAAGCTGATGTGATTGGAGGGGCTACTGAAGGTGGATTATGAACAGCAAGGGGGGCACCAGTTGAAATTGATGCAGAAGGCACAAAAGGCAAAGGAGCTGGAGATATCATAGAAGGAAGTGAGGACAGTGTGGGTGGTAAAGGTGAGGAGAATGTTTGGGGAGGAAAAGATGAGGCAGAAGATAAGTCTGGAGGAGGAAGTGGAGCAGCTGAGGGTGAGGAAAGAGAGAGAAGGCACATTTTCATTAGAGTTCTATTAAATTTTCTGCACCATTCAAGTATCTGAGAAGAGAATCTGAAACCTGTAGCAGATTAACAATTCCTTCTAATGAGCACTTTAAAGATGCAGTGCTGAAAATTCAGTGGTTAACAACCTTCGCTGTTTCAACAGTCAATTCAACAGTAACTCTGCAAGATAAATTGTCTTACAATTAAATGTTTATCAATGAGCCTGCTACAAAATGTAAGCATTTACCCTAAGTCAGGGGATCATCTGGATAAACACCTTACGCTTTGACAGCTTTTAAACACTATATGGGTGATCTAATGCCTGATAAGTGTACACGGGATAGGATTTTTTTTTACTAATTCCAGAGAAACTGATCTCAAATTTTACTAAAAAATTTCAGATAATAATGAAAGGAAGACAAGCTGATCTGGAAGAAAGTGCATTGCCTGTTGTGAAAGGAGACACACTTCACCTCTGCAAAATGTTTCGCTGAAGGGTCAGTTGTACTGCAATCCTAAGCAGAGTTACAACCTCTAAATGTGAAGTCAGTGGGCTTAGAAAGGTGTAGCTCTGCTCTAGATTGCACCTTTGGAGAAGTGCTTGGTGGTGGACCACAGTGCTCACTTCCACTCCAAAATCCCCCTGCCATAAATGTCGTTCAGTTTACCTCCCCTTTTCACCTCTGTATTGGCAACTGCAGGCCGCTTCCTTCAGATATGACCCAGGTACTATCAGTCATCCTGTGCGCTCAGTATTAGGTACACATTCTAGCAACATTCTCGGTCTCAGGTCTGCTCATGGAGAATCAGGCAGCATCTATTTCCTAGAGTGTATTTTTTTCTAAACTTTGGCAAATCTGCCAATTGTGCCCTCTTTTTAGGGTTAAGGGTTTGGCCACTGTAATTTATTTAGAAAATCTATATACTGCAGTGGCTTATTTACATGCTTTGCTACCTTCCCTACTGGACCACAGTAAAACATTCTACATGGGCTGTCTTTGAAGATGGCTTGGAAACTTCAGGCAGTCCAGAATATGGTAGTCTTATTGTTAACTAAAAGTCTGTTAGGCTGGTACATTACACTGTTGATGAAGGCATTTCACTGGTTTCCAGTTGCTTCTTTTGGCCTTGTTCAAAATGTTGGTTTTGACCACCCCCCACCGCCCCTAAATTGTCCAGATCTAGAATCTGGAAGTCTTATGGAACCACTTGCATGAAGCCCCGCCTTGAGTAGACTGCCCATCTGTTGGCCCTCCAGAGGAAGTGGTGGGCCACTGTGTGAGACAGGGAGCTGGACTAGATGGACCAATGGTCTGATCCAGCAGGGCTCTTCTTATGCTTGCAAGCCTTGAGAACAATTTTGTGTGCCTTTATCAGAGGCTTCATGGGATGTTATTTACTAGGTGATGGTATTTTTTCTCCAAGACACAGAAAAGCTTCACCTGCCCATTCTGATGCATTAAAAATCTCTTTGGGAGGGACAGGACATTCTTCTCCAGGCCTGCAGAAAGCACTCTGGAAGCAAACTGATATAAAAGGAGCAAGGCTGTGTTGGTGCTGGAGCATATTCTATGGAACCCTTTTGAAAAAGAAGCCTTTCTATTGTGGGTTTTAGAAAAACAAAGTCTTTTCAGTCCTAAGAATCATATTTTATTGTTGTTAACAGTGTTGTGACTGTTCTACTATTCCATATTACTTATGTATAACTTAAAAAAATATTCTTTTATCAATTTTATTGTAAATCAGAATTAAAAGAAACAGTGAGATGAAAGCTCATCAAATAACATTTTGCCAGCTGAATCTGGAGAAAATGTTATTTCTCTATCAAAAAGATAACTTTAGAAAAAAGAGACTTTGAATAGCCATACCCTGAAGCAGAGGTACTAACAGCAAGGTCACATGAATCCTGAAAAAGGCAACAGGAAATGCTATGCAAGGACTGATGTCAATATAAATGGGCTACAGAGTCCCTCTATGTTAGGTTACTGTTCTTCTGAGTATTCTTCAATTTCAACTACTTTAGCGTAATTCCATACAAAATAAATGTTATACATTCTCAGCACATTCTCAAATGACATTGTATGTATAAAGCACATTTTTATGGATTAGAAAGAAACCACTTATTAGCTTGAAATGTTTATTGTAATTATATTGTTTGCAACATTTGATTTTACTGTTATGGACAAACTGCTAAGCTTCACAACACATGAACAGATAAGACCAGTCATTTATGAAGCTCTTATACCTAATGAGATGGGGGCTGGGGTGGCGGCAGCAGTAGCCCCTGCTGTGCTTGGTGGAGGGGTTCCAGGTGGAGTTGTCTCTATACCACTCTCCTCCATCATTTTTCTTCAGTGACACAGCTGAAAGAGAGAAAAAGATGCTGAAGGCAAAACAAAAACAAAAAACAACTCAAACATTTCCCCCAAACAAAACTGTTATGGCACTGGATAGATCTAGGCCTGGAACATTAAAAGTACCAATTTCTACTAGTGTTCAACAGTAAGGAAAGCTCTGTACCCAAAGCACTTCACTCACCACATCTGCCTCAGACCAAGCTCTCTGTGGTGGCTCTCATTGGGCTGAAAGGTGACATACTCATGGGGCTGTCTCTTAAAGGTATTTCACGCTTTTTAAAAAAGAGAAAAGGGTGAAGTTTGATGAAATAGCTTAAATCAGTCTACATCAAGTTCTGATCACATGTTACTAGGTTTGCCAGGTACCAACTGGCGAGGGAGGGGTGGGGGCTTACCAGCAAGCCTGTGTAGCTGGCGAGGTGGTGATGGCACTTCCAGTGCCTACCGGAAGTGATGCCATCATATTGCCAGCGACATGAGGATGCTCAGGTATTTGGGCAAAAACTCTACAGTAGAAGTCATTTTTACCATAGAGTTTTTGCCCAAATACTAGAGCATCACATAAACATATGAAGTTGCCTTACACTGAATCAGATTATTGGTCCGTCAAGGTCAGTATTGTCTCCTCAGACTGGCAGGGGTCTCCAAGGTCTCAGGCAGAGATCCTGTATATCACGTATTACCTGGTCCTTCCAACTGGAGATGCCAGGGATTGAACATGGGACCTTCTCCATGCAAAGCAAATGCTCTACCACTGAGCCACAGCCCCCTCGCTAAGTGCATGCTGGAAGAGACATCACTGCATTGTGCCAGCAACGCAGTTCTAGGCCTAATTTTCGCGCCTGTAAGTCCCCTGCTGGCCAGCTGGTCAGTGCTGGGAGGAGGAGCTCCAGAGCAGGGGATCGCCTGCCCCTGGCGGGGGCCTGGTAAACCTACATGTTACAGTGAACACACATACATGCTGCATGTATGTGTGTACACCTGTTTGTAATAAAGAGACAATGTACATTTACATTACAAATGAAAACTGGGACCAGTACCTAGATACATGCATGGTTTCAATCACAAAGTCCACTGTACATGCATCCAATATAACATAAGAATTACTCAGTGCACATATGAAGAAAAATCAACTGTACATTGTATACAGATTGTATATGCATTTGCTGTAACATGTAAACAGCTACTGAGAACAAATAGTCATGGACTACGTGTGGAAAAAGCTGATCCTCCGTGCTATAAGCTGTAAAGGCACATACCTCAGTCAGACCAGCCAGCAACATGAAAAAGAAGGCCTGAAGCCTAACTTGGGAGAATTGCTAATTTCTTTGTAGGTATATGGGGGACCCCGGGCAAGCAAAAGTTGTACATTAGAATTTCCTCTTTTAAGAGCTACTAGATAAAAAAGCGAGTTTCAAATTATTGATTAGATTGTACAGATGCTTACAAATATCTGACTTGTAGTTAAGGAGTGCCCACCTTGCACTCATGTTATAAACGGTCACCTGAGACAGCCTAGGCAGCAACAGAATGTAGGAGGTCAGCAACTTGACTTGACAATATTGCTAACTATTTCGCAGGCCCAAGACAAAAGGGAAGAAATCAAGAGCTCAAGCAGGAGAACTCTGAGCTTCCTTTTCTGCATTTAAATGGGTGCAATCCATAGAATTTATTCTGGTCAGAACCACCTTTTGGAAAGGTGCTGTATTGTATTCACAAAGGTTGCTATGAGCATAAAATTTATGACTCAGATACACAGTGGTTGTAAGTTATCATCAGAAGGACATTTGGACAAGAGACTCATGCATACAGCTTTTTTTTTAACCACTATGCCACTCTAATGGTTATAGAACCATCCCTACCAGTAGCTGGTACTGATGCACATTTGCATGTTTGAGTTGGTTCTTTTTTGGCTCCAGTTGTTCTGTGGAAGTTGACTGTTTAACTATAGCAACTATTCTTAAGATCTGTGCTGGAGTTCACTTGCAAACTTTCTATTCGTTTGTTCCTTAACAAGTGTGTTTCACTACACCAGGTGTCATCTGTCACAGCAGCCACATAAGAAGAGGAATGGGAAAACTGAATCTCTAAATGGGGCCTTGGCAAAAGCCACAAACTATGCATGATGGCCTCAGGTATGGCTCTCCCATAAAAAGCTTTTGGGACTACAGTTCCTAATCCTTTCCCCTTTAAAGTCAATAGAGCATTATTGTTCAGTTTAGTCATATGGAGCAATGGGAATCTATGCATGGGAGGCCACACTTAAAACACTAAGGTGGCAGGTGTCCCTCCTACAACTGGCTGTGCTGCTGACTGTAGTTCCTACTAACTCTGCCAGCTACAACTTCTGTGTTAGTGGTGCACTGTGGGTTACAGAGTAGATGCCATGAGGAATGATGCTGCAGAACAAACAACTCTAGGGAACATATCACACACCAGAAAGATATTCAGAATCACTAGACGCTAGACATGGAAGACAATTTCTTCCTCTGAACCCAGATATAACAATTGATAACATTTATGGGACATATAAATCCCACCCAGGAAACCATCCAGCTGAGTGAAAGTTATACTGCAGATTCCCCAATATCCAGCATTGCCTCTAGACCAGGTCATCCCAGTTCAGGGCAAAGTTGAAATGGTGGTAGCATCCAGACTCACAATATAGCGTCTAGCCAACACAGAAGGGGCTACCCACATTTAAAACTGGAGAGCAGCGATTATGACGTACCCCTCCGTTCCCTCCACATCGGGTGCCCTTTACATGCAACAGTGCTATCCCAACCAACTATATGGTCTCAACTCCACCCCCACCCCCTTCGGGAGGAACTTTCACAGTCAACACGGAAGGCACCAAATCTGCTTAGAAATTAATTGGGAATGCCACAATTACCAGGGTACCACGCACCTTCGATGGTGCTATCGGGATTTCCTTTTGTAGAACTGCTCGAGCAGGCTGAACGGCCTCTTATTACAGTCACTATGTCGTGAGACAGGAACTACATTTCCCATGAAGCAACGCAGATAGTGCTCTACGCACGCGCACATCTCTGTGCCACGTCTCTGCCCCTTTCACCCCCCAAACCCAAGTCCTCAAGGAGCTACTTTGACGCGATCTCGAGTAGCGAAGGGCCTCAGGCTAGGTCCCATCCGCACCAATCCCTGCCAGTCTTTTCTCCTCACCTGAAAGGGACTGCAGCGGCCTTGAAGGAGACGGAACTGGCCGCTCAGGCCTCGCGGCGGCGGCGTTCCTTCGCCAGTAGCTCCCGGCGCGTCTCGATGTTGAGCCCTCCACGCCCCGCTTCTTGCCGGCTCCAGACTCTAAAATGGCCGGGGAGGGGCAAGCCCGGGAAGCGCTTCTGCACCAGCCTCTTCAGCCTGCCACGTTCGCTGCAGTCAACGGGGAGGAGTTGTTGGGCCGGCCGGCAGGCAGGCAGTCAGGGCTCTGAGCTCCTGGTTTCTCCGCCCCCCGAGATACGGTGGGGAGCGCTGACGGCCACGCAGACAGGGCGGCCTCTCCTCGTGCTGCTGCTGCTGATCGCTGTGGACTGCTGGCGACGGTGACATTGACAGCCGCACCTGCTGCTCCCCTGCTTCAATTGCTTCATCTCGCTTAAGCAACCCCGGCCCTTTGGGGTGCGCGGATGGTGAAGCTGCCTCATGAACAGTGTTGCCAACCTCCAGTGGGGAGGGGAGATCTGGAATTACTGGACTCGAGTCTAACGGATCTCCAGACGACATAAATCGCTTATTTTGTGTCTGTTTATCTAAAGCATTTATTCTGCTTCTCCTGGAGAAAATGGCTTTGGAAGGTGGGCTACAGGGCGTTATACCTTACCAAGGTCCGTCCCCTTCTCTCCCAGTTGCCACCCTCCAATCTCCAGGCATTTCCAAACCTGGAGTTGACAGCCCTCTGTAAGACTTTGTTGTCTCCTCAAACCTTTCTCTGTAGTTGCTTCACATTTACTGAAGGCATCAAAGTTTTGAATGCCAGTCTCCATGCCACGCCTTCCAGGAAGGATTAAGCAATCAAAAGGAAAACAGGGATGTATCTGACAGCAAATTCTTTCAATAAATGAATTCTTTGCACTCTGGAAAGTGTAGGGCAACTGCACTGGAGTGGCTGTGTTGAAAAAGAGTGTTTGAAGAACAGGAAAACAGGTGATGAGAGATGAAGTTCTAGGACTTCCAGTCAAATTAAAAAGAATAAGGTTCTAAGTTCAGGTGACATACAGCCTGTGGTTCTTAAGGAACTCAAGCTGTCAATCTAACCAGTATAGATAACGTTTCTACGGTGGACTGGATTGCCCAAACAGCCCTAGAACCACCCCCTTTCCACCACACTCCCTACCTGAAGGAAGGCAAACAGGTTGCTGAAGAGAAAACACCACTGGGCTCTTTCTTGCAGGTTGGACAGGGCCTGGGATGGCACAGGGCAGAACTGGGCTCTTTTGTGCTGTGCTCCTCTTTGTAGGCTGCATTGGGTCTTGTTCACTAGACTGTGAACCTGGGCATCACTGTACATGTGCTCCTCCTTGCAGACTGCACTACACCTGGGCTAGCATGATCATGCTCTTTGTCACTGGTTGCATCACACTGGCACAAGGAAAATCCAGGCCCCCATTTTAGGTTCCTGTTTGCACCTCGCACCAGGAAGCCACAAAATTGGGTAGCTTTATGGCTGAAATCTTTGGCACTCTTTATTACATTTATATTCCACTGTCCTCCAGGACAGGGCAGGAGACTGACCTGTCAAGGGGAGGGGCTTACCAGCAACACTTCCAGTGTGACCAACAGTGACATTACTGTATTGCCAGCAACACTCTAGCATTCAACCAAACTCTTTGTTTTAACTGTGGAGTTCTAAATGTAAGTGTTGTCTATGAAGCGATGCCTCCCTTTCAGTGACATCAGAAGTGATGTTATCGTGTCAGGATACTGGTGATCACTCTCCCCATTTTTCTCCTGCTGCCCAGTTGAGCAGCAGCAGGAAGCTGGCTGTAGGCAGGACAATCTCCTGCCCAAAGCAGAAACCTGGCAACACTACCTCAGGAAATATGGGTGCCCTGCATGTGGTCCAATGTGTTCTCTGATCTAAGCATTGGCCAGACACAGTTTAAGTGACACAGCTTTATTACAAATCTAAAGGACATTTCATTCTGGTTAAAATCTTTCAGAAGAATATTTGTAAGCCCAGGCACATTGTAAGCACCAGTATAATTTATTACCCTCTCAACACTAGTAAAAGTATATCTCCACAAGGAAAGGGGATAGAAAAAACTTCTAAAAAAACAAAAGCTGGGAATTCAGAGAATCTGTTGTACATATTGTTATAAAGTTATACTGATGGAATCATATTCTAGTGCCGATTTTTAAAAAACAATTGGAAAAGCCACAGTGACTGCTGCTGGGAAACTGCAGGGAATCCTGTCATGTGGGATCCTCATTGCCGTGCACTTTATCAGCAACTGCAGCAGCAATGGGGAAACCACTCTAGGCTATACGCATTCTGTTTTTAGTGATTTTTATAGTGTGTATAAAAATTAGAAAACAAAAAAATGCAAGGAAACACAACAGAATAGGGCAGGAGCAAAAGCAGAGACACAGAAGCCACAAGATACATGTACTTTCTACACATGTACAGGAGATGCATACCTTGCATTGGCTAAGGAAATGATGCCAGTATAGTTCCTGGCACTTTGAAGGGGAAAAAACTAACTCTCTCATAATCTCCTTGTTGCAACTTTGGGTGCTTGTATCACTGCTAATGGTTGTGTTTTAGTGTAGAAGTTCTTATCCTGGGGGGGGGGGGCTTTCATCTATTGTTATGCATGTCATTCTTTTCTGTTTTTTTATTATTCTCTCTGATGGATGACCTCTTGTTTTCTAGACCATTGTTCCAGTGTTTGCAGACCCCGAATAAAAGATTCAGGCTCTCTGAAACAAGTTTAATATTTCGTAAAGCTCTGGGGATAGGTAAGCTCACCTAGCGCACTGCCTATTCTTCTATTTCTGATGGCATTAGACTCTGTGGTCATTTTTAATTCTAGTGACTCCAGAGTATAGTAGATTTCCCTTAGTTTTTATTCTGTTTAAGTTGAAGAAAAAGAGATGAGCAGGACAAATAAAGCTGTACTTGTTATTTCATCAGTACATGTGTGTTTCCACAACAGTACAAATAATGCTCCCTGGGATCATTTCAGTTTGGGGAAATGGCATGCAGGGAAGGCAGAAGCCCTTTCCTACCCTGCACCATCGTCCTGATCCGAATGAGGTCCCTGTGGTGTTTGGGAAATGAGGTCCCAGCAGCTGCTGTCTGACCAAGGGGAATGAAAGGTGGCTTAGGGGAACCCAGACCCAGGTAATTTATAAAGTCACATCTAGTTTGTCCCTGCCACACACACAATAAATAACAGGAAACAGACTGAATAACTGAAAAGTCAGTAACTGTTAATGTGATAGTTCAATAAAATATTTCATGGTCTGCAGACCAAAATATTAAATGGAATGCACGTACTATTTCATTGCATTTCTGATGGCAGAAATAAAATCCAGGCACAAACATTTCTTCCTGTATTTACAGAAGAAATTGTCACCCATTCAAGCTACCTTGATTCCTTACGAGTTTCTATATCAGAATGTAGAGAAATGTATAAAAGAAATTAGACTTGTTTTTGCCCAGTTTGATAGTATAGGTCTGAATTTACATTGAAATGGTTTGCAAACTTACTCTAGTTTAAAGCCATTGATCCAATAAGCTTCGACTGGAGTAACTCTGCCACCAGTCAGCTCTGCACAACTTGGTCACTTTTCTATCTTTTAAGTATGAAAAGATGTGGTTTCTTCAGGGATACTGTGCCATGTGTTCCTCTTTTAGGACATGCTTGTATGTTAATCAGTGTGATTCATTGGGTGGGTCAGAACCACTGAAGTATCCTGGTATGAAAGATGATATTCTGAATGTGGCTGTGTTGTCAGCATAAAGATGGCTATATTTATCACCCTAAGGTAAACAGTGCTTGGCTTATGCAGGTTCTCCATTCACAGGGTTCATCTTGCCAGCATCTAAAAATTCCTGAACCAACATAGCATGATTTCTTTCTTTGTTCATACCTTGTTTTTGTCCATACTACCAGTATTTCTTTTTCAAAATTACATATTCAGGTTCAATCTGTGGCATCTCTGATATTTAAAGAGAGACCCTAGGAAGGATATACAAGAGCCATTTTGTCAAAGTAGTCAGTCCTGGGTAAAATGGACTCCTTGATCCAGCTCAGTGTAAGGGCCAAATGATAGGTGATGCTGGAGTTCTATAACTGGAATTTCAAACTTGTAATTTGGACATAAAAGAAGGAGTGGGGGTGAGAGCATCTGGATTGGGGCTGCAGCCCTGGGGAATGAGATTAACACCCTGCTCATGCTGTTTCCCACTTGAAAAATCCCTGCCCTAGCTGTTACCTGCTGTAAGGAAAGAAGGGAAATTTTTACTTAACTGTAAATTCTCCAGTGAGTTGTATATATCCAGGTTTGGGGATTTGAGACTCTTCAAAAGTTTGTGCCTTAGAAATGCTGGAAACTACAATTGTAATCACAATTTCAAAAAAGATAGGCTTTTATTTGTGAGTTTGTATAACACAGTACAAAACAGTGTCAAACTAAATTTCTAAACACCATACCATATCCATCCTACAGTAGGATATCTGTGCTGCTTAACTTCTGAAACTCAGTGTCTTGGATGCGCGTTCCAAGCACATGTTTTGGTAGGTAAAAATACAGTCTGCCAAAGGCTAAATCAAGCTATGGCAATAGTTTTGATGGTGAATGCTTTCAGTGACACAGAGTAAGGCAAAGTAAAGCATATTTATAGTTCAGTCTACCTTGAGTATCCAAAAGATACATGGTCTTTCCACTACCAGCAGTAGCTGTTTTCAAGTCCATTTTTGTTGGACTGCAGCCACAATATTTCTTTGAATTTAAAAGCTCTACTGGAAACTGTGCACACTGGCTTTCAAATCAGAGTTGTTATACTAAAAGTAGAAGACTATATATGTACATAGGATGAGCATGAGTGGAACATTTTGCTCACATGCTCAACAGTAATCACCTTAACCGTTCTGACTTACCAGTGTTAGGATTTATATGTAACATGGAGATGAAATAGAAAGTTGTAAACTAAACAGAATATTAACACTTACACTCAATCCATACTTTGAGGAATTCTCTGTCAGAGCTAGGAATAAACTAGTAATGGGAAGTCCAATCTTGCAAAACAACTCTACATTAAGACATGACTTCTATGACAATTTACTTTATTATGAGAATTTAACTATATTGTCCTTTTAGAACAGACAGTAAATGCCTTTGGAATGGACAGATGATAACTCTACAGCCAAATAAACTGGTTGGAACTCAAGATGGGAAATAATGAGATTTCTATTTAATAGTCTTTTTTCCTATAAACATTATCCTCACATTAAAAATCATTTTTTTTCTTTTACTAAATCCAACAGTTTAGCCATTGGTTTAAGACAACCTTTCTAACCTATCTCTGGTTTGGCAACTGACATTACCTAAATATATCTTACTTTT